TTAGAATCTAATGTTATCAACCATGTGTTGACATTCCTGGTACCTCCACTAATAAAAGAAAAGAGTCTATGACATCTTTCGAACTGAGAAGAAGTCAACGTGAAAGAAAAGAAAATGACTTAGTACCGGATTTTATTTCATCTCAAGTTTTAACCTTTTTAGTTGAAGGAGATAGAAATGGTGTACTTAATAAATATCATTGTTGCTTAATGTGGAAGAATATCCAAAGACATTTAGTTAAGCTATGTCTTCAAGGGATGCCTCCTTTTGGAGAGAGGCCATGAATGATGAAATTGATTCGATTATGTCAAATCAAACTTGGATCTTGGTAGATCTTCCTCTGGGATCAAAACCAATAAGCAACAAATGAGTGATTAGAAGAAAGTACAATACCGATGGGTCTATTCAAACATTCAAGGCTAGATTGGTAGCCAAGGGCTTTAAACAAAAACGTGGTATAGACTATTTTGATACATATGTTCCGATAGCTAGATTGACATCCATAAGAGTGTTATTTGTAATTGCATCAATATACAATTTGCATGTTCATCAAATGGATGTTAAGACGGCTTTTTTATATGGTGATCTTGATGAGGAAATCTATATGGAACAACCCGAAGGGTTCGTATTACTTGGAAATGAAAAGAAGGTTTGCAAGTTAGTCAAGTCACTTTATTGTTTAAAGCAAGCACCAAAATAATGGCATGAGAAATTTGATAATGTCATTTTATCTCATGGTTTTAAGCATAATAATGCAGATAAATGCATATACTCTAAATTTACAAATAATTTTGGTGTGATTATATGTTTATATGTTGATGACTTGCTTATCTTTGGAACAAACATGCAAGGGGTAAATGATACCAAGAAATATCTAACTTCACAATTTAAGATGAAAAATCTTGGTGAGGTAGATACTATCTTAGGTGTAAGAGTAAGGAAGTATAGTGGGGGTTACTCGTTGTGTCAATCTCATTATATTGAGAATGTACTTCTTAAATTCAATCATTTGAAGTTTAAAGAAGCGAATACCCCATATGTTTCTAGTACTAAATTACTAGAGAATGCATGCCGAGCGGTGACGCAGCTTGAATATGCTAGTACAATTGGTAGCTTAATGTATGTCATGCATTTTACAAGACCCGACATAGCATTTGCGGTATGTAAAATGTCTAGGTTCACGAGTAACTCGGGTATTGAACATTGGAATGCAATTGGTAGAGTACTTGGTTATCTTAAAAGAACTATTAATTTGGGTTTGTCATATAATGACTATCCGGCGGTACTTAAAGGGTACTCGGATGCAAGTTGGATAACAAGTACAACTGATAACAAATCCACATCCGGTTAGATTTTCAAAACTGCGAGAGGAGCTGTCTCTTGGGCTTCTAAAAAACAAATGTACATAACTCATTCTACGATGGAGAGTGAGTTTATAGCACTTACCGCTGCGGGCAAAGAATCATAATGGCTTAGAAATCTATTGTTTGATATTGAGTTGTGGCCACAACAGATGCCATCTATTTCTTGTACTGCGATAGTGAGGCTACTTTGTCTAGAGCTTATAACAAAGTTTATAATGGAAAATCTAGACATATTAGCTTAAGACATAAATATGTGAAACAATTAATAACTAATGGTGTTATCAATATTGTTTATGTTAGGACAAATAAGAACCTAGCGGATCCTTTGATGAAAGGTCTTTCAAGAGACTTAGTCAAAGAAACATCCAGTGGAATGAGACTGAAACCTTTCTTTGAAAGAGTCACCGATGATGGTAACCCAACTATGTAGTAGTTGTACCGCTATTCCATAGTTAAATGGGTAAGAACAAGTCATTGTTATGTAATTAGGTTATCACCGAAATTTAATTAGACCTTTTTCAAGATGTCAGTGTAAAATAGCTACGTGGTTGAGGTCGAGTTTATACTCTTAATGGAATTCGAGTCTCATAGTAGCTAGAGATATAATTCAAAACTTCACCTAAGTGAACATAAGAAATGGTGTTATTCCTAACAAGACCGTGGTTTAGTCTTGTAAATGTTCATGAATTCAAGATAGAACACAAGGCCGGAATAGTGCTAAACGATTGGAATAGATTTTAACTCTGGGATAACACATATGTGATATATTTCCGGTATTTGCTCAAAAGACAAAGTTTAATGCAAAACACATTGTTGTCTTGTGAATACTTTGAAGTATAGTCACTAATTGGAGGTTAAAATCGAAAGATACCTTCATGTATGTGTGTGTTTATCGTTGTTAATTATGGATAAATATTACAATGTAGTGGGGGATTGTTAGAGAGATTGTAATATGTCTTGATCAAGATCACAAGTTGTTTGCATTGAAAACTCGTGTTAAAGGGACTTCAAAACGTTGCATTGGAGAAACTACTTTGATTCGGCCAAACCGGCTATAGCTAAAAATTTTGGCTGCAGCCGAAATGTTTACATGTCTCGGGTTTATTTGCGGCTGCAGCAGAAAAACATCCGCTGCAGCGGAAATTATGCATAAAATAATGTTTTCATGAGTTTATGTGATCTAAAACGTTTCGAACCATTACATCCATTGGTGATATGTTTTCATTCATATTTGAACACCAATTAGCAATAGATATAACTATTATAATAGGTGTATTAATCCATGAAAAGATACATTTACATTGAAAAAGTATCTTTATGTGAATGATTGTAATATTTAAGGAGGATGCATTCATTCATGAAATGACACCTCTGTCTTTATTAATGCTCCAAAAAATTTACAGACTTTTTTGATGTTTTGAAACTCAATATTATTGCTAAATATTGTGTTTAAGGGTTTGTTGTATCTTGGGAGTAATTTGTCATTAAAACTCATTAGCAAACTTTGAGAAGTGATGGTAAATAAAACTTTAAAAAAAAGTATTCCTATACGCTTCAAACCATATCTTATTTATGTATTCTTTTTATCTTCTACACTCAAATTTCTCCAACAATGAGAACATAAAAAAAGATATGCAGATAGTGCTGGAACTTTGGACGGGTCGCCCGCGACAGCCCGAAAAGCCTGAGTTTTTGCCCGAGCCGCCCGAGAAATTCAGGCCGCCCGCCCGAGCCCGAATTTCACCTTGAATGGGCCGCGGGCTTGTATTAGGCGGCCCGAGCCCGCCCTAATTGCCCGAATTATTTAAACTTTTTTTTTAATATTAAGTTATTTTGTGTTAACATATATATATATATATATTACAATTTGAAATTTGAAATGAACACACGAACTATATAAAAAAATTATTTCTTTATTAATTTTTAAATTTATAAGTCATGATTACCTCATTAAAAATCTTACCAAGAAAAACCCAATTGAGATAAAAACTTGGCAATGAAAAAAGAGTGCAATTATATTGTGACGAATTACAAATTTTACAAACTTACAAAGTTATACAATTACAAATACAATGTCAAAGGTAAATACATATTTACAAATTACAAATTTACAATTTAATTTGAAGCTGAAGGATCATCTTCAACATTAAATGTTAATCGATTAAATTTATTGATCCATTATTGGCTTGCCGGTGAAATTGTATCTTGTAGACGTTAATCGGCCCGATCCCAATCCTTAATGCAAACCAAGGCTTCAACATTGAGTGACTGATCTTTTAAAATAGAGATCATCAAATAGCGATGAAGTTATTAAACCAATCATTGAGTGACTTTTGATAAATTATTAATTTACTTTGGTATGCAAGTAGAAAGTTACTTTGATATAGTCACAAAGAGAGTGAAGAAAGTGGAAGAAAAAAGAGGATAATTAAGAGGATGATGAGAGATTGTGAACAGAAAAATAGATAAAAATAGAAAGAAGAGTATTACAGAGTAGAAAAATACGAGTATCTATAAGAACAAAACCGGCATTATATAGAAACAACACTTTTTAAAAATGGAAAATAATAAAAATGTGATGGCAATGTGTTTCTTTCCTTGTGTATATTATTTTTTGAGGAATCTTTTTATCATGTGATTGATTATAAAAAAAGGTCAAGAATGTGAAAATTGAAATATTAAACTGTTAAAATAAGAATTTACTCTTTCTATTAAAGAATTGTGTGTTTACCTTAATTAATAAGTTAAAAATTTAAATAACAAATATGAGCATTGGGTCTAGTGGTATGATTCTCGCTTTGGGTGCAAGAGATCCCGAGTTTGATTCTCGGAATGCCCCAATTTGTAGCAACTAATTTTTTTGGGCAGGCTTCGGGCAAAATTTGGGTTTCCGGGTCGGGCAATTCGGGCAGTCGGGCATGAACAGAAAAATTCAGAAACAACTCCGACGGACGGCGGTCGACGACACCTACACGGTGGCGGGTTCCGGCGTGGTCTCAAAATTCGGGCTGCCCGAGCCCGAGCTTGAATTTTCACCTTGGACGGGCCGGCATATGGGTCTGCCCGCCCGAGTCCGAAAAAATTTGGGCTTCGGGCCGCCCCCCAGCCCAAAGTTCCACCACTGTGCAGATTTAATAGGAATTTTTCAGTGCAATGAGGAAGGAGATGAATTTTTCTCAGTTTCGTGTCAATAATTTTTCAGAGGGTTAACACGGTAAAGGTTCTTTATTATTATTATTTTTTTAAGAGAATTGTGACTTGTGAGCATTATTATTGCAGAGATAAAATCGTTTTCAAAGAGTTTATGGGTCCCACAAAAATTCAAATCAAGTGACACGTTAGCGCCAGCTGACGTGGTGTTGCTCACCGCAGATGCCCTTGGGTTAATTCAAAATTACCCCCACCAATCCACAAATTTGCCTCCGGAAACAGTAAAAATTGCTTAGAAAAGTAGAAAAAAACCGCGAACTTGGAGAATGGTAAAAAAACTCTTTTGGCGCCAAAATTCAATCCCATATAAAATCCCAACTCTCTTATTCCCCCTTTCATTTCCCTCTCTTTTTCTCCTTTCTTCTCTGAAACCCCCCATTTTCATTCCTCAACCCAAAATTTCTCAACCTTTTCGGAGCTCCAACAATGGAGGCCGATCATCGGACAGTAGAGGAAGAAGTGACGATCAAGAAGGTTTCAGAAATGCCGGAATCAGATATTCTCCTAGCGGTCTCGGTCTCCGGGGACTATCCAGACGCCGCAGCAAAGTTAGTTGTTGATAATCCGTTGCCGGTGACGGTTAAGCGGACGATGACGAGCACCGGGGCTAGGATTTCGGCGCAAATCAGGCGAGAAGAGGATTCTGAGGAATCGGAGAAGGAAAAGGTGAATGTGGCTTCCAGAATGTCGTTTGACGACTTTCTTAGGGTCACGAACACGAAAGTCATGACGACGGAGGAGTATCTCAGATCCCAGGCGATAGGAGAGCCCAAGATTGAACCATCTGAAGTTGATGAGTCTCGGTGCGAGCCGAATTCGGCGATTCGAGTTAAGGAGGAGGCTGATGTTCCTCACATTGATGGCCTCAACGCCGAAGAGAAAAAGGACGAACCGATGGGAGAAATGGTGGCAGACAAGGTAAATGTGGCTTCGAGAATGTCGTACGAGGAGTTTCTGAAAGCTACGAACTCGAAAGTCATGACAACGGAGGAATATCTCAGCTCTTGGGCTAAAGAAGAGCAGAAGATTAAACAATCTGAGATGGAAGAGTCTCGGTGCGAGTCGAATGCGATGATTCGAATCAAAGAGGAGTCTGATGTTCCTCAAATTGAAGGTCTCAATGCGGAAGAGAAACAGGAGGAATCAACGGGACGAGAGGTGTCGAATAAGGTAACTTCAACTTGGAGAATGTCGTTTGATAAATTTTTGAAAGCTACGAACACGAAGGTCATGACAACGGAGGAATATCTTAGATCTCAGGCGAAAGAAAAGCGGGAGATTAAACAATCTGAAGTCGAAGAATCTCGGTGTGGGTTGAACGCTGCGATTCGAGTCAAGGAGGAGCCTGATGTTGGATTTGAAGGAAAAAGATTGAATGAGCAGGTTGAGTCTGTAGATGAAGGTCTTGGTTCTCTGAAAAAACAAAACGTGGTGAAGCGTTTAACAGATATTATGGAGGAATTTGAACAATGGTGTCAGGAGAAAAGCACAAGTAAACCAATAGTGGGCTTGAAGCACAATGTTTCATGTGAAGGTCTCAATGCCCAAGTGAAACAAGAGGCGCCAATTGAAGCTGTTCCGATTAGCTGGGCAAAGGCCATTGTCCCAGTAAAGGATGAACCGATCGATGTTGATCCCATCAACTGTTCGAAGCCAGTCGTCACAGTAAAACAAGAACCTAGTTTGGGAGTTGGGCAGAAGCCTTCTGTGGTGAAGGAAGAACCAGTCAAAGAAATTACACGTGAGAGTTTCATGAAGAAGTTCAATAGAATCCCTTCTAGACGAGTACAGACTTCACAGAGTACATCTGATGCGAAGAAGCGACGGACTGAGGATCAAAAGCCTTGTCTTATTCCAGTGGAGGACGGGGACTTCCCCGAAGAGCCCGACTGGTTTTTGGTGGGCAGAACAATGGTTACTGCGCTTTCGATCACTAAAGGCAGAAAATTGGCGGACAATGAGATTGTCCATTTCTCTTTATCTTCCAACGATTGGAGGTCTAATGCACATTGGATTGTTCGTTTTTCAACCAAACGCCATGGAGAGGTATAAACTTGTTCCTTGTTTGTAAAATGTTCCATTGTTTTGTCGTATGCGTCGAGGAGTGTAGGTGATTATTCTTGAGTTACTTGTTCATTCAAAGGCTTGAAAGTGATATGTGGTCTATTTTGTTTAAATATTAGATTGGTCGTCTTCCCATGGAGTGGGGAAAATGTGTTGTTCCGCTTGTGAGTTCTGGTAAGGTGAAATTTTATGGGCGTTGTATTGCTGCACCATCATCCCTTTCTATGATGCAAGATATCATGTTGTATGTGAGGTAAAATAGCACATTCTTATCATGCTTTAGTTTTCTCATTTGACATTGCCTTTTCTCTCTCTAATTGATAGATTACTTGTGTATGTATAGTTTTTACATTCATCGTTCAATATTTACGGATGATGACAATTCTTCATGGGGGAGGAAGCTAGAAGCTGTGCACATTGACTCCACGATTTATCCTCTCCTCACTCTTTTCAAATGGCTGAAGATCAAACCTTATCAGAAGGTACTCTTTTAACTTATTATGCTATTATTTAACATTTTACAAAAGCAACAGTAAGTGAATCCTTAAACACGCATTTGGTTTGTTTATGAACAGGCTGAGTATACCCCGGAAGAGCTTGATTCTCGCAAGCGTCTCTTAAATCTCGAAGTATGTACTTTTTTTTGGGTTAGTTGCTGGAGATATGCAAATCACTGGATATTAATAGGCAGTGCTTACAAAGCATAGTATCGTTTTCTTTTTATAAAAAACAGGCTGAACCAGATGAAGCTGGGTCGATGCTGCCCATTGTGAAGCGAAGGAAAGGTTGCCAGCAGTATCCAGAGCAAGGCAAAGATGAGCAAGCTGTTTCACAATCTTCTTTGAATAAGCTTGTTGGTGCAGTAGATGCTTATAATTTGGAGGTTTGTGATGTTTAATTCGGTGTGCAATTAACTTATGGTGTTATATTTTTTACACTCATCATGTTTTTAATTTATCCTAATACTTTAGGTGATGGAACCGCCAAGCACTCTGACGTGTAATCTAAGGACATACCAGAAACAAGCTCTTCATTGGATGTCAGAACTAGAGAAGGGAATTGATGTTGAGAAAGCAACAAAGACTCTCCATCCTTGCTGGGCAGCCTATCGTATAAGTGATGAGTATGTAGTTCTTTGTTAATGTTATAGAGGAAAAATGAACACTAATAAACGAGTTTCATTTGCTACTTAAATTGTAGCTCTTTTTGTCAAACCAATACAGTAGTTAAATGATAAATTTGTTTTGGCAGGAGAGCTTCCTCAATCTATGTGGACCTCTTCTCAGGTGAAGCAACAACTAGGTTTCCAACTGCAACCCAGATGGCAAGAGGGGGAGTGAGTACTCAATCACTTTACTATATTTTGGTGGTACATGCATCAATATTTTGTAGCAAAATACAGGGTCTCGCTTTGTGCCACTTGTTGCGGTTACTAATTAGCATTCAAACTCCGTTTTTGTGTCTTTAGATCCTAGGAGACGCAATGGGGCTTGGGAAAACTGTAATGACAATTGCTTTAATACTTAAAAGTTCACGCCGGGGTAGTCCTGATGACCAAGGACTTGTTAAAAAGGCTGCTGATAGTACTGAAATTATTAGGAAAGATTCTCAGATGGACGCCACATTCAAACCAAAGGGTGGTACTCTCATTATTTGTCCTATGGCTTTGTTAAGCCAGTGGAAGGTAACTTTACCTTGTTTGTTAATGCTCTGAATAATATGAAACTGAGGATATTAAGTTTCTTTAAACTTGCTATATCACTTATTGGACCCTTGAAAAATTACCAGGATGAGCTTGAAACTCATTCAGAGACAGGAAGCATTTCCATTTTTGTTCACTACGGTGGAGGAAGAGCACATAATCCCAAGGAGATTGCAGAACATGATGTCGTCTTGACAACATATGGTGTCTTGTCTAACGCTTATAAAAGTGTAAGGATGTGTTCGTTATATATTGTTTTAGACCAATCTTTCCCTTTTAATTTTAATTATTTGTTTTCTATAGAGAAACTTTTTTAATCGTTATACAGGAGGGAGAGGACAGCATTTTCTACAAGGTGGACTGGTATAGGGTAGTGCTAGATGAAGCTCATACAATTAAATGCTGGAAAACTCAAGTTGCTGGGGCTTGTTTTACTTTATCCTCTCATTGCAGATGGTGTTTGACAGGAACACCTATTCAGGTCTGCCTATTGCCTCACGTTCACATTATCCTTTTTGACATGCCAAATTCTGTTTGTGTGTGTGTCTCTGTGTGTGTCTCTGTGTGTGTGTGTGTGTGTGTATAGTTGGTTGAAGTTGAGAACCACTTTTTCCAATATTTTCTCGTAATTGATGAATTAGTTCAATTGCTGCAGAATAATTTAGAGGACCTCTACAGTCTTCTATGCTTCTTGCATGTTGAGCCATGGTGCAATTGGGCATGGTATGACAAAACATGTTAAATAAGAACTCTCTATATATGCATATATACCTTATATAGTAATTAATCATAGGTTTACGTTTTCCTTCTCTCATTTTCTTCATTTTTTTTTCTTTATCGTAGTAGATTAGGTCTCTCAAGTGTGAGTTTGTTACCTCATTAATTCTTTTATTCAGCCATTCATAATACAACCCTACCCATTTGCAGGTGGAACAAGTTGATTCAAAAGCCTTATGAGAACGGTGACCCTAGGGGGTTGCGGCTAATAAAGGCTATTTTGAGGCCGCTTATGTTGAGAAGAACAAAGGAATCAAAGGACAAAGAAGGAAGGTGATTATCTTTATATCTTCTCAGTTCCTGTACATTGCCTTTTACCCTATTTGATTCAATATAAGCATTTTAACATTTGGTAAATGGAAACTCAGGCCCATACTTGTTCTTCCTCCCACCGATATTCAAATTATCGAGTGTGAAATGACGGAGACCGAGCAAGATTTTTACGATGCCCTGTTTAAAAGATCTAAGGTATAGTTTTGCTTCAGATTTAGTTCTATTTATGCATTATTTTCTTTATGAGTTTCTCAACAAATTACACAACTAAACACTTTTGTATGAACAGGTCCAGTTTGACCAGTTTGTGGCTCAAGGCAAAGTTCTACATAACTATGCTTGTATCCTTGAGCTGCTTTTACGGCTGAGGCAGTGTTGCAACCACCCTTTTCTTGTTATGAGGTGAACTGAATAGTAATATTGTTAAGTTACATGGTCCATTCCATTTTCGTGCTTCTGATTTCCGTGGTTTTTTGACTTGCAGTCGAGCAGATTCACAGAAGTACGCAGACTTGAACAAGCTTGCTAAAAGATTTTTTGGAACAGACCCTGACTCGGCTTATTCAGCACCAAATGCCCCCACTAAAGCATACGTTGAAGAGGTAGTCGAGGGCATTCGACGTGGCGAAAGCTCGGAGTGTCCCATATGTATGGAGTCCGCAGATGACCCAGTACTAACACCCTGCGCGCACAGACTGTGCAGGGAGTGTCTTCTCTCAAGCTGGCGATCCCCAGCAGCTGGGTTATGCCCATTATGTCGTCAAATGATTCGAAAAACTGATCTCATAACATGCCCATCCGAGAGCCGATTCCTAGTTGATGTTGAGAGGAACTGGAAGGAATCATCAAAGATTTCAAGCCTCTTGAACTGCTTGGAACGAATTCGCCATTCTGGCTCCGGTGAAAAGAGCATTGTTTTCAGTCAGTGGACCACGTTTTTGGACCTTCTAGAGATCCCTTTGAAGAGGGAGGGAATTGGGTACTTGCGCTATGATGGAGGGCTGACACAGAAGCAAAGAGAAAGGGTCTTGTATGAGTTCAATGAGACCAAAGAGAAAACGGTATAGCACTTCAAACTACTATTTTTTTCACTTGTTCTCTACTGTCATAGCCTTGATACTTTGTTGCTAATAATGTGGGCTGGTATTGTATTTCAGGTATTGTTAATGTCTCTGAGAGCTGGTGGTGTGGGATTGAATTTAACTGCCGCATCAAACGTCTTTTTGATGGTACATTTTGCTTTCCAGTTTTGCAATTATTTCCTCCCCTCTTTTTTTTTTTTTTTTTTTTTTTTTTGGAGTTCAATGTATTAAAAGATGGACCATTTTATTTGTCAAACGTGTTATGTTCTGTACATAGGATCCATGGTGGAATCCAGCAGTTGAAGAGCAGGCAATCATGCGTATCCACCGCATTGGCCAAAAAAGAACGGTTTCTGTTCGTAGATTCATTGTCAAGGTTAGACATGTTGACCATAATTGATTCAATTCAAGTTTGTCCACGATGAGTTGGTGGAGCGGGTCAAATTTGACCCGGAACCTCTGATAATCTGAGTTGGGTTCCTTAGGATCCCTGACATGTTGACTGAGTCGTGGACCCAACATCAATATGGTGTAGATCCAACTCTAAATATTTTTTTTTTTTTTTTTGGCTCAATTTAAGGTAGAAACGAATGAAAGATGGTCTAGGACTAGGATATACTATATGGCACACCCTAATCAACGGTCTGTGACTATGGTATCCAAAGTCCCAACAAAAAAATTTAAATTGTCCAATTGAAAAAAAAAAAAAAAAAAAAAAGAAGAACAAAGAAAAGAAACAAGCATGAATAATTGGACTAGAGGCCACCTGAGTTCCATGTCGCACAAACTTAAAAGAAAATGTTGGACCAGAATGCCAATTGTATATTTACAATTAAAAAGTGTGATATGCTATATTGTATTTATTTTTGTTCCAATGCATAATACTATTTAAAATGCTAAATTTATTTTTTTTCATAATTATTAAGCTTTGAAAGTTATAAAAGTAAATTTTTATGTTTAAAATAATTATAAAATGCAAAAATTACAATGATTACATGAAAAAATAAACATTTCAAATAACAATTAATAATATTGCATTAGAGTATTTTTTTACACTCAAATATTAAATTTATAATGAGTATATTAATTATAGCATTACATCTGTTTTATGGTAATATGCCTCGTCATAAACTAGAAGTAGAACCTTAGCCAACTTAATAAAGCAGCACAAAACCGACTTACTTGCCTTACCATAAAGTAAAAAACGACTTAGTTCTTGCCTTACATTAGCCATATGATATTTTTTTCTTTTCTCTGTTGTTCCACCAAAAAAAAAAAAATGATGATATGCCTAATGTTGTCCCTTAATTGGAATTAGCATTTAGTGTTCATCTAAATATTACATAGGCATTTACAAACTAGTCTTGGTATATCTTACAAGTAACTTTCTGTTTTCATCAATACTTCACTTATTTTACCATTGTTTGTCGTTGCTTTTAACTTGCATTGTCAAACAATTAGTTTAAATTAACCAACTCTGAATTAACACAGGACACTCTGGAGGAACGCATGCAACAAGTTCAAGCCAGGAAGCAGAGATTGATTGCTGGGGCTCTTACTGACGAGGAGGTTCGGTATGCCAGGATTGAGGAGCTCAAAATGCTTTTCAGATAAATATTTATTGTTTAATTTCCAAACCATTCTGCTAATTTATCTCTTTTCTACTCGGTTTTTTTTTTTTGGGTTGATGAGGATGGATTTTATGGTACATATTTATGTACAGCTGGGTTCATTTAGGTATGCAACTGCGGCTTTTCATGTCTTGTTCTGGGTTTTGAAGAAGAGCCCAATTTTGTAAATTTTGTCGTCACCAATGATATAAATTCAAAGCTTAACTCGTCCTGATCATATCTACACTTTTGACTAGAAACAGTGATTTGTTTATTTGGCTAATTCACTTTAGGATTAATTTCCGATTTGACATTTTAAAGAATATAATTTGTCTCATTGTTTTTTACTGCTAAAAATGGCACCATTTTTTTTACAAACTTATTATAAGTAGTAATTTTGATATTTTTATCATTGACACGTTGATCTTTTGATACTTTTATTAAGAGTGTGAATAAAACTGTTAAAAAATAATATTTTACCAACTAATTACTCTTCAGTATTTTGTTTTCCCTAAGTTCTAAATTCTTGTCATTTAACAAATTAAAAGAGAGATCTGAAAAAAGAAAAAAGAAAAAGAAAAAAAAAAGTAACAGACCATTGGAATATTCTGGAAAAAGACGGTTATATCCTTGACTCGTTTGTAGTTTGACCGCATCGTTGATTGGTTGGGGATGGTCCATAAAATTCTACTTAACGACAATGCGGATAAGGACAATACAATCGAGACACGTGTCCACAAACTTGGTTCTCTAAGGCTCACAATTGACCACGCAAGAAAAGTTTCTGCCGTTAGATTCCGGTTGAAACAAGGAGGGCTGAGATGTTGCCACGTGTGGTTGCTGGTTAAAACGTCGACGTTCGTGACGTCTATTAGAAGCATTTTCCGTATGAGGGTCAAAAACCGGCGGTGAAAGCTAAAACTTGAAAGGGAAGGGGTCATTTTAGAAAAACTCTTCGGGAAGAAGAAGTCCCCCACGGTTTCAAGTGGGTTTCGGTCCCACAAAACTCAGCCTTTGACCACTAGGAATATGATGCTCTTTCGGCTCTATGTTACTTTTCAGTTGGGTGAAGGTTGTTCATTCTTGGCTGGGTTTCAGCTTTTTATCTTTTGGCTCGGCTTGAAAAAGTTGAATGGAATGGAATTGTCCCAAAAGACCACCTCCTTTTTAATTATCAGTAAATACTGTAATTTTAACGGTTTTGTTAAGATTTCACAATCACATATCATATCATTAAAAATTTAAAATGGGCAGGTCCTATTAAAAATCCCTTTTTCAGTCCAAACTAACCCAAATAAAGGTCGTAAGATTAATCCCACAAAGTCACATAGGTTTACCCACAATTCTAGTTTGGTCCTTCATTTTTAAACGTTTCACAGTTGATTTTTAAAATTTTATTTTGTTTTAATTTTAATCTTTTTATTAGTTAGGTGTTAAATATTTGACAGAATATCTATAAATTATGGGTTAAAATTAAAAACATATATAATTTAGGGATTAAAATAAAACATAAAAAAGTGAATTACATAGATAGTCTCTAAATTTTAGTTTTTTCTAATTTTAGTCCTTAATTTACACATATTCTATTAAATATTTAACAACTAATTGACAGAATGACCGAAATTGAAATAAGATAAAGTCTTAGGAACCAATTGTATAAAGTCAAGAATAAAAATGGAATTGAGAGTGTTGATACCCGATTTTGTACCAAGTCCATTTAAGGGTCCAAGCCAAATCATGGCGTCACGCGACGTTATTGGGCTCGCTTCGTGGACTCAAGTCACACTCGGGGAACTTCTGTGGGTTGTGGTTTGGTGGGCCATATGTGATCAAATAGGCCCGTTTGTCGTTTAATTCAATCCAATTTGAATCCCACTTGGGGGGTTTTTAAAATTAATCAGATTAAATACTAATGAGTGATGGAGAATTCTTAAAAAAAGCCTTCCTTCCGTCCTTTTAGAAACCCAAAATTTCTAAGTCCAAACCTTAGAACATCTTTTTCTTCGTCAAGGTTGATTATCAATATTTTGACTCCAATAGAGGCTCTACCCGCTCTAGACATGCCTAATGGAGGCTCCCTCTGTAGCAGGCATGTCTCCTAAAGCATCCTCTTCATATCCAAGTATGCTTCCGTATCAGGCATCCTTCTTTTGGACTTCTTTTTGCCCAACTCATCATCGGAGCAATCTTCATCTGTAGCGTGCTCACCTTTTGAAGTAGCTTCACCCGGAGCGGCCTTCGTCTGGAGCATGCTCACCGTTGGAGCAACTTTCATGTCAGAGCCAACATGACGACTGCTTAGCCAATATCATATAAACCATCTCTGATAAGGTCTGACATGTGATCAGACCTCCGAAAGAGGAAGTCAACGGAGCACAAAGTTGAGTCAAACACTCTTGAGAATTTCGACCTTGGAACTTTTCACTTCAGCTCCAAATCCGGAACTTTGCCTCCAAGTCTTGCCATTTTTGGGTCTTTTCTTTGTCAATCCGGAAAGTCACCTGATCACCTTGCTCTAAAGGAAATTGTGTGTGCAGTTCTCCTTCAGAGCGCCGCCGATTGGGCTTTGGAGCAGCAACCACGAACCTCGCTTTCTATTTCCGGACCAGCTCTTTTTCAATCTCAAAAAGGCTTCTGATGACTTTGCTCCATTTGGATCGCTTATGCATGCTTCCTTCAAAGCGCCGCTAATTCACCCCTAGAGCAAGTTCCCATAAGTCTTCATTCTATTTCAGCTAATCTCCTCTTCAACTCCGGAAAGGTGTCAGAAGGCTTTGCACCATCAGGATTGCTTGTGCAGGCATCAATCAGAGCACACCGTATGAACCTCTGGAGCTGCCGCTAAAATCCTACCAATTTCACCTATAAATACCCCACATCTCCTTCATTTCTAGGGGCGAATCCACCATCTGCACTAGCCACTACTTTTATCCTCATATTACCTTTTCTTTAGACTTCTTTAGTCTCTTGCTAGAGAGACTTGAGGTTCTTCAAGCTCTTCAAAGTCCTTTAAAGCATCCAAGTGTTGACAGCCTTAAAAACCTTTTTCAAAACACTTTTCGATCCATTTCCACCACCATCCTAAAACTTTTTGAAGTTTCTTCATACATTTTCAGGCAACGTCCAAGTCTTCATTTTTGGGGTCACTTCCGCTCATCGTCAGAGCAAGTGCAACGAGCGCCATTCTCATTCCCAGAGCAACACACTTTGTTCATGGAGTTCTTTTCATTAGAGCCTTATCCACCTCACTAATGTCACTCTCACTATCCTCCAAGCCTTATCCACCACTTGAGTCACCACCTTCGCTCCTGGAGCAACCCACGCTTGTCTCCAGAGCACTGCTCTACCAAGGCACCTTCATCCTCCTTTTCTCCATCTCCATCAACTACTTGGTCGCACCTCCCACCATTCTTCATCTCCGGAGTTTTTTTATTTATTTTTGCGGATTCTCTAACATATTTTGCAGGGCATCTTCGTCATTTCGACAACAAAGAGGGTCCTAGAACACGCGTCCTTCGACCTAATTTGGGCTTAACTGACTCCATTTTTTCGTCGGAGGTCACGCCATCATCATCCACTTTGAAGCTCGGTCACATCATATCCGCTTCTGACGAACCGCGTGCTTACGCATGTTAACCCCCGACACGTCAACTTTTTGAACCGGACTCCGACAGAGAATAAACTTCAGAGACTATTTGTAAGATTAATCTAAAGTTATATAATCAAGAAGTTTTACTTTGGGGGCGGGAAATACACCGTCTAAAGAATAAGGCTTTATGCCATTGCCACATGCGCAAAATGTGATGAATAAGAATTCACAAAGTTATTGATAGTCAAGGTTGAATCTTTGAAAGTAGGGCCGGGAGGGAGGATAAAAGTTAGGTTCCATATTAGTTATTTTAGACGACATGCTATTCAAGTTAGTTTTCACAAGGATAGAAGCTTTCCTGCAAACTGCTTTGCCATATATTTTGTTAACGCAGCCACTAAAATATATAAAACCCTGTTTTTTTTTTTTTTTTTTTTTTTAATACGGTATGGGGTTTATGGTTATCACTTTATTCAAAAAATAAAATTATTAAAGTTTAAATTTTGATGGATATACACACACTTATACACCCAACCATTTGAGCTAGCCTCAGGAGGCCATGGAGGATTGAAAACTTGAGAATTGTGATTGAGATTAACAGCATAATAGTCCTTAATAGTAAATCTTGAAGTCTTCAATAATTGAGATGTAGATTTTTCTCATTCAATTACATTTTCCCCATCTAATAAACAATTACATTAACACCCTTTTATTTTGGTTAAGAGACACTAACACCCTTTAATTTGATTTAATTACAATAATACCTCCCTTGATTCGATTTTTTTTCCCTCCTTGACACCTCATTTAAAGGTAATGAAATCCGTATTTTTCTTAAAATCTATCTTTTTAAAATGCCAAAATACCCCTAGAACTCTAAAAAAAATTACATAGTAATCCCCTTGTTCTTCTTATTTATCTTCAACTATCTTTTTTCTAAGCATATATATACATAAACCCTAAACTTCTTAGCAACTGATCATTTAGTCTTTCAAATTTTTTTTTTTCAATTCGATAATTAAGTCTATGATCTTTTAATGTAATGGCAAACATGGACAAATTGGTGCAGGTGTTAAACATAACAAATTATCTGTGCTGTGCATTATTTAAGTGCTAAGGCTAATAGATGAAAATAATATAGCATAATTTCTTTAGTCTCTGTTCTTAGTTTCCCTATGACTTGGGTTGTCACTTAAAAGCCAAGACACTGATGAACGTCTTTAAGGAGCATGGAGAGGTCGAAAATCGCAAGCGGCACCAAAAGGTTCTGTCCCACTCAAAGAGATCAAAGATATTGAGGAGCTTGCAAAGCCGACGTGCCAACTTGTGTCGATTGACATAGGCATCATTCGCTTCGCAGATTTAAATATTCAATTCGAACTGAGATGTAACATTTTCTGAGAGTTTTTAACTGTAGCAGAAAAAGTTAGATGCGACATTTTTTAAGAGTTTTTAACTATAGAAACTTAGAACTAAAAACTCAAATCGGTGAAACGAACGAAACCATAATTTTGATGATGGTGGTCACGAGCTCATGGCAAAGAGAACGATAACTTGTAGGCCGCGGTTGTTTCAACCTTCCTTTTCTTTTTTATCACTCCCTCCCTCTTTAAGGTTTTCTAGGTTGCTTTTTTTTTTTTTCAAGAGTTAATTTAAAAAGAATTAGCTAATAATAAGTATTTTTATTACAAAATTAAAAGTTTAAGGACTTAAATACTTAACTGTCAAAATTCAATCTTTTAGTAAAAAAAATTGTCAAAATAATAATATTAATTACAAAAACTCTCCTAAGCTATAACCCTCGTAATACTTTGCATTTCAATCTTTAAAACGTAACATCTGTTTCCCCTGAATAATAAAATGTTAACGAAAAATCATCTTCGTTAAGTTTTTTTAAATAGAATTTGACATTTAATTTGTTATTTTGGATTATTTTGATAGCTTTTTATGGTTTAAATTTTAGTTTGAATTTAAAACTAATTTAAATTTGAGCTTTTAATTATAATACATCCATTATTGATTGAAGGTAAGTTACAAATTTTATGATTTTTTTTATAGAATAAAAAAAATTTATTAAGTTTTTTTAAATATTTTAAATTAGTTTAAATTCAAATTGAATTCTAAATCATAGAATTATCAAAATAACAAATTAAATGTCAATTTCAGTTAAAAACCTAACAGATAAGACTTTTTTTGTTAATATTTCATTATTCAGAGAGAATTGATGTTATGTTTTAAAGATCAAAAGGTAAATGGTTAAAAGGGTATAACTCAAGGAAAGTTTTTGTAATTAATCCAAAATATAGATGACTAAATGGTCATTTACTAAAGAATGGCAATACCATTTGCGCCAAGCCACCAATTAAGGGGGAAAAAGGTTTAATCCTATAATTGGCTCCTAAATTTTACCATTAATCATACTTCTTTTCAACTTTAAAATATTTTAAACTTATAGAATATTTTAAACTTAACCTTGATTAATCAATCTATATTTTTAGTTTTAGCCCTAAACTCAACCTATTTTTAACACTCAATCAATGAAAAAAAAAATTAAGACTAAAATAAGAAATTTTTTATGGTGGAACCTCAAAAAAGGCTCTACTGACGTAGTATTATTATTTTTACCGTTAGATTAACGGTCAGCTCTGTAAAAAAAAATAATTATGTATGGTGTACTATAAATTTTTAATACGTACACAAACTTAACAGTTAAAAAAATAATTAAACAATTAAAAAAACAATACTTCACCGATGAAGCACTTTATGAGATTCTACCCTAAAGAATCCCAGCAAACTGATAGCAAGAGGCAGCCAAGCCGAAGCCGTGTAGGAACAGGGACAGCTCAACGCCATTCCCTTTTCTGACTGAACCGTGCGCACCACATGCCTCTCCCCCCCTCATATAAAATATCCTCACTCTTCCCCTATTTCTCTCCCAAAACCAACACCCAAACACGCACACAAACGTCTCTCTCTCTCTCTCTCTCTCTAAATCCAATCAAAATCCATGGCAGATGTATCCAGACCAATCTCCGTCGCCGGCGCCCGCCGCCAACCCAGCCGGCTCCAGCGCCGCGCGCCGGCTTCGCTTCAGATCAGCCCCGTCTCTGACTGGAACGTCGCCATCCCTCTCCTTTCTCCGCTCGCCTCTCCCTCATCGCCTCCGCCGCCGCCGAACTCCAAGCCGCTCGATCGGACGGCCGACAATAAATCTCGCGACGCCGACTCCGACAAGCCGCCGGTCGTCGTCTTCAAGAAGTGGCAGGGCGCACCCGGCAGCTCCCTTCTCCTACGAGCCGCCGAAGATCGTCCGCCCCTTCGTGCCGGCATAGATTTGTTCGCTCGTTGCTCGATCAAATACCGCGGGGAATTAGTCAGTAGATCTAACGGTGTATGTTTGACCTAATTTATTATCTAACATGCACGAATTTTGCGAATTGTACACACATGACCGTTTCTCTTATTTTATTTTATTTTTATTTTATTTTGTGTTCGATTTTTAATATAAATGAAAATAGTCATTTGATTTTTATTCTTCTTGAAGATTATTATTCGCAGAGATTTTACTCATAAATACGATAATTCAATTACGAAAATTTTACTTGTAGTTTATTTCCAAATAATTAGAATTTTGTCTTATTTTTTTCATGGAAAACATACTCAAACAATCGAAAGAGAAAAGCGTATCCCGGAAAGTTGAAGGACTCTAAAAACAATATTAATGATAACAATAACATTAATGTTATGCCTTATTTGCTGAGATTTTTTTGAATATCATTAAAAAAATATACAATTATATCATCGATGACAATAGCATTGCAAAACATCATTGATAAGAATAACAATAAGTTGATTATTACTTTTTAACGATATTCAATTGTGTCACATTATTAAATAATAGTGAGCTCAATTATCTTAATTATATATGTATAATGTATAATGTATACAACTTTGCATGCGGTCAAGCAGTGTACACACCGACAAATATATATTATTTTCAAGAAGTCCATAGTTGATAGGATTAGATTTGAATGGTCATACCATCATACGTTTAGGATATATTATATGGTTAGGAAAATGTAAAAGAAGACATATAGAAAGAAGATGCTGAATATTTTTGTAATATTATATTATTCCAAGTAGAAAGCTACTATTATTGAGAAATGAAAACAAATCTAAAAAATTTGGGTGCTTGCTTGCATAAGAGAGAGACATTTGATGGACATTCATTTGGTTTTTATTAAACCAATAACCAAGAATGGTACTTCGTCTATGCATTAGCTTTTGGAAAATCTCAAATGTATTTTTTTATTTGGAAAAAAAAAAAAAAAAAAAGGATTATTTACAATGCATGTTACTTTGAATCTGGTCAAAATTTTATTATACAATGAATGTGCAAAATTGTTGTGACATGATAAAAATTGGCAACTTAAAAGCAAGAAAATGCTTTACTCACTAAAAAATTTTAAAAAAGGTTGATGTGAAGAGTCCGAATTTCCCAACCCCTAAATTTAAAAAATAATAAGAATAAATTAATTAATTAATAAATGAAAAGTTCCAATATTGTTCTTAGTTTTATAAAAAAGTTCAAAAAAAAAAAAATGGAAGGGATTCCTTGGAGACAGATTGAACGGCAAGTAAAATGGTCAAATATTCTATTCTATGACGTAAAAAGGTTTCAGAAACTTGCACTTTCGAGTCAGATTTGCGTTAGATTAACAATTACCAACCGTTCAATATTCATTACCAAAAATAAATAAATAAATATTGATAATCAACCGTTGGTATTTGGGTTCACTGATTGTTTTGAGCAAACTTTCAGGACTTGCAGATTAGGTGACCAACTAAGCCGTCGTATCTTCACAACATTTTCCATTTTGTCTTCATTTTTAGAGAAATAGATAGAAAACATTATATATCTCTTCAATGTTCTTCATTGTAGTGGTTGATTTTTTATTTTTTATTTTTTCTTAAAGAGAAATAGCAATCATATCTCTTCAATGCTATTCATTGTGTTAGTTAATATGTTAGGTTATCATGATAGTTTTTAGCAAAAGTGTAGTCGATGTTGATGTGAATGATATTGAGAAAGCGATGAGCAATCAATAACTACATAATATACAAAATAAAAACAAAAGAAAAATTGTAATAGTTCTTTCATCATTTCACTTTGGTCATTTCCTCCAATAAAATTTTCCAAATATTCCTGTTTTTTTTTTTTTTTTTTTTTTTTTTTTTTTTTTTTTTTTTTGTGGCGCATCATGTTGCATCTTTTTGATCCATTGTGTTCTTTTTTCTTTCTTTTATTTTATTTCATTATCGTATACAATGAAATAATATTTATTAAGTGAAATCAATAAATACAAAGCCACAACCGAGGTACCAACAGGGTGAGCCCAGTACAAACCAACACATACAAGAGATCTAGAAGTAAATATTCTCCATATATGATATAAAACTCGTCCATATATATATATATATATATATATATATAGTTTGAAGTGCTCTCCACTCTCATATCTGATAATGGTATATGACTTTTGTGGCTAGATATGGTTTACTCTCCCAACCACTAAATGTTGGATCTCTCTCACCGAAAACCAAATAAGCAATACCAGGATATAGCTGTCTCAAGATCCCTACTCCAAGATCATATGTAATAGTTTGACAACTTTGACTGTGACAAATCTAAAACTTAAGCTAAATCACAAGTTTCTTGGGCTATTGTATTCAAAACCATTATGATAGACCTGACTTTCAAAGTTAGGTTCCCAACTGTGTAGGCAACTCATACAGTAGAAACTCCATTTTTATCCTCTCGATGGGTACTGCTATTTGAAGAGTTAGACTACTTTTTTGAGGAATAAAAGAGAGAAATAACATAATTTGTAAAGTGATTAATAAATTATAACATAATTTTTAAAAAATAATAAATTATAGCATAATTTGATATTTTAAGTTTTAAACATTATTAAAAATTTAAAAATACACCCAAACCTCCTTTTCTACCGCACCCCTCTCTCTAAACATTTATTTTTAAAAAATAGTATATCATAGCATATTTTTAAAAATAGATAGATTATAGTCAAGTCTACCATGGCTAGCTCCGGTGACCAGAGATCATTTTTTGACAACATGTGACCGTTTTTTCGCGACCGGTGACTATTTTCCGGCGACCGTTTAACAATATATTGACTAGTAAATACTTCATTTACCATTTAATACTGTATTTACTAGTAAATACCATATTTACTTGAAAAGCTAACTACCAACTTCGACGACCGTTTAACGCTGTATTTACAGGTAAATATCGTATTTACCAATAAATATCATACTTATTAATAAATATCATATTTATCTAAAAATTAAGACACCGACTCACAAGACCGTTTGATAATGTATTTATTAGTAAATGTTGTATTTATTAGTAAATATCATATTTATTAAAAAATTTGGCTATTGACACCGGCGACCGTTTAACACTATATTTATTAATAAATACTTTATTTACTAGTAAATATCATATTTATCCGAAGATCGGTCACCGACTACAGCGACTGTTAACCACTGTATTTATCGGTAAATATCGTACTTATTAGTAAAGTCATATTTATCTGAAAATTCAGCCATCGACTCCGGCAACCGTTTAACACTGTATTTATCGGTAAATACCGTATTTATTAGTAAATATCATATTTATACGAAAATTCAGCCACTGACTTTGGCGCACTGTTTAATATTGTATTTAATGATAAATATTGTATTTATTGGTAAATATTATATTTATCTGAAGATCTGGTCACCAACTCCGGCTACCGTTAAACACATTATTTATTGATAAATACCGTATACAAAATTTTAGCTACTGACTTCGGCGCACTGTTTAACATTGTATTTACTGATAAATACTGTATTTATTAGTAAATATCATATTTATCTGAAGATCTAATCACCGACTCCGACTACCGTTAAACACATTATATACTGATAAATACCGTATTTATTGGTAAATATCATAGATTTTAAATTATAACTACTAAAGTATTTACAGATAAATACAATATTTATTATATTCAAAATTATAGTTACTAAAATATTTACAAATAAATATTATATTTACCAAATTTAAAATTATAATTACTAAAGTGTTTACAGGTAAATACAGTATTAATCAAATTCAAACTTATAACTACTATAGTATCTTTAGTAGATATATACAGTATTTATCATATTCAATATTATAAGTACTAAAGTATTTACCCAACTTAAAATTGTAATTACAAAAATAAAATATGATACTACTCGTAAATACCAAGTAAAATATGATAGTTATGTGTATATCCTATATCCCATAGTTACCTAAATATGATATCACTAACAGCATGAATAAAAAACAAAACAGTTATAAAGAAACCATAAACACAAAGGGATCAGCAGAAAGGCACAAATCCGAAAAAGAAAGTTTGCTTATAAAAAAAATAAAAAACATATGTTTCTACTTTCTATTCTAGTGATTTGAAGACCACAGGATCTTCACATTAGTTATCGTTTGTTCTACAAGTATAGAAGGATACATAGAAAGGACAAAGATCAAATCTCCATGCAACCTCATCAACATTTGACCACATGCTTCAGGGTTATGTGAATCAGACATCAGACATCAAATATTATTAATCTCTCATATATTGAAGAAGGAATTGTTCTGAATAAATCGATCTCCTGATCATCAAATATTGCTAATTTCAAAAACAATCCAAGAAACAAAGCAACAAACCCATGAATCTTGAACCCGTAAAGAGCAGATCAGTGCGAGAGAGAGCAGATCGGCGGGAGAGAGAGAGCACATTGGCGAGATTTGCTCTTGACGACACCGGAGAAGACGAGTCGCCGATCTAGATCCTTGCTCTTGACGGCTGAAGAAGACGAGTCGCCCATCTAGGTCGAGATCCTCGACGGAGAAGATTTCGCGACCCTCAACTTCCCGATCATCTGAGACTCCCGACGTGACGTCTGCTTAAGACGGTGATGTTCCCGATCTTCCATCGTCGTCGTTCCAGATCTTCAGTCATTATTGTTCCGGTCAGGAGAGAGAGGGACGTGGGGAGAAGAGAGAGAATCTAAGCTGCATCGGCGGTCGGAAGCCGCCCTCTTCACTGTCGTGGCTGAATCTGCCGTGACAGAGAAAGTAGAGTGAGGCTATAGAGAGAGACGGTAGAGAGAGCCTGAGGAAATTTGTTAGAGAAAGAGAGAAAGAAAGCCTAGAGGGTAAAATTGGAAATTTAAATTTATTTTAGAATATTAATAATAAAGATATCCTATAACTTATCAACATTAAAAATATATGCTATTTACTTTAATTAGGGGTTAAAAATATGCTATTCACGAGGCTTTTATAAAAATAACT